AAATTTCTCATGAAATAGGCAAGCTACTTACTGTTGTTTTCGGGTTTTATCTCCGTAACCAATACACTTGACAAACTCACCCAACTACCTAATTGGTTGTTTATTAACTGACCATTATTAATGTTATTCCCGAGGTTATCCAGAAGATTTCACCTAGCTAAACACTTAAAGGGTTTCCCCAGTATTAGCTTCTCACTGATAAAATGAAACCAGTCATTGAATGGAAAATTATTTTCAGATCAACAATGTTCGAGAAATTCTTGAATTTTCTATTTTACTACTGGATTAACATGGTTTCTGTCCAAGAGACATTCAACTAGGTCAATTATTTCAGTTAGCGGAATACTAGGGAACAGATTTTGGACGTTAAATGATATCAATTTTGCGTTATCAGGAAGAGTTTTCATGTTACTCAACAATCGATACATACGATATATTATTTATACTGAATCGCGGCTAAAAACTAGTATAGGTTTGAATTGATATTATGAGAACCTTAAAGGATGGATAAACGACACCACAAGTCGAATCGGAAAATTGGTTTCATATGATTCAATGAAGACAAAGAGTTAGGGAAGTTGTCGGTGGCTACTGTTTTGAAAGTGGAGCACTCCGGTGATGAACGTATGCGCAACGAACATCGAAGTTTGTTCCGAGATATGAGAGCAGGAATGCGAAGAACTCCAAAACAGCTTTCATAAATGCGTTCAGCAGGCGGTGACATTTTTCTCTGGCGTTAGCATAAACTTCCCCATGTGAATTCGGCAGTCGGAACGTACGTTTTCGTGATACCTCGAAAGCAGAAAGTTTTTTTCGTTGGGCGGATCTGCACAGACGAGCCCCAAACCTCCCGATTCAATTCAGAAATCTGAGGCATCACCTCATAGACAAGACTTGGAACAAGCGGTTCTGAGAGAGTCTTGAAGCATCTGCTCCGGAGCCAGAACCACTAGCTCAATTTGTACCTTATCAATACGAAGTTAGAGTTGGCTTCCGGTACATTGTGAGTTTATAGAATCGTCAATGTCATCCTTTAGATGTCCTTTCGATCAAGAGAAGGTTTTGTCCCTCCCTCTTTGCAAAGAGCTATGAAACCGAATGAAATCGCGAATTCATCTTGGAAAAAAACCACTTACATGGCATGCAGGATCGTTGTTCAGTTGGCTGGAAAAAGATGAGGTGAACTATACAAATACACATAAATGAAACAAACACAAAAACAGAAACAACAAAAACCAATCCCGAGGCTGGACAGAAGTGCTCACCTTAGTCTAAGGCGGTGGCTGGGGATGAACAGAAATGTCCACTCCAATCTACCGCTTGGAATGAGGCTGGACATAGCAGATAACCTCCAACAGCAAGGGCACTTCCTGCGGCAGGCGCCAAGAGCTCCACCTTGAATAAAGACAAGGAACCGGCTGCCTCTGCAGGAAAGCTCCCTCACTTGTGCACCTCCACGGAGGGAACCCCAAGAAGGTTGAAGAAGCCGCGCAACGACAGTAATATCGCTGCACTTTCCAAAATCTTCGCGGAAGGCACCGTGAGACACCTCAAGGTTGCCAAAGAGAGTGTGTGTTCGGCGAGTCTTGGTCTACACCTGTCAATATGAAGGAGATGTCTCCTAGTGATCTGTCCACCTTCCTGAAAGGATAGGATGGACGATGACCTAGGAGGACTTACTTTTGGCTTCAGATGGATTTGATTTTGGTGTAGATTAAGCTAAGAGCATGGAGGCTAATTTCAGCTATAATATTCCGGCCGGAGTATGGATCTAAGGAGAGAATTCTGATTTGGATCTACAATATTGGTTAAACATTTGTCAACGCTAGAAAACTGGTAAAGGGGCAAAACTGAGTTCATTGAATTTTTGTTGTTAAAGTAGTTTTGAGTGCGGTAATCGCAGGTTGCAGGAAAATTGCTATTGTGGCTACTGGTACTAAAATTCCACCGAGCAGTATTCGATCCTGATATAACACTGGCATATGGTATAAGTCAGCATCAGAAACATTCCTCCCATCAAGAAACGAAAATGAAAGGCTTGTGTTTTGCCTATGCTTGAGCTTCGATAACTCCTTGACGATTTTTTTGAGGTAGTGAAAAAAAACGAGCGGTCGCTATCAGCAGCATTGAGGTACAACGATGCAAAAGATAAGAAAAAAAGATCGGAATAGCTGGTATAAGCATGGAAGTGAATTTTAATTCTTCTCAAAAAATATTTATGTATTCATCAATTTTTATTTTGTCTCCTCCAAAGTAAACTACCTTATGCCAGCATTTTTCCAGTCCTTGAAGCAGTATTGATAAACCCTCCTTTGAATGTCCTTGAGCTTGAGCTCAGAGATTCGGTTTTTATCTCCTCAATCGTCACAAAACACCGCCCTCTCATGGGTATCTTCAATCTTGGGAACAGGAAAATGTCGCAGGGGAGCAACTTTTATAAATACGGTTTTTTGTTTTTGGCAGAAAAAAATACCAACAACCAATGACGAGTGAATAGGTGCATCATCGCCCAGATTCACGGAAGACCTGCTAAACCACAACCGTAAGGTTGTATCTAAGGATTCTAAGGGTAGCGGTGGGTCTACTAACGTGGCATAGCCGACTCAGGAAACATATAAGCAACATGGGTCTGACAGAAGAAACCCAATGTAGGTTCTGTTAAGAAGAGGAAGATACTGCACTGCATGTGCTCTGTGAATGCGAAGAGGTACGCAAGATGCGGGGAAGAGAAACCAAACGCTGCCAGCTATATGAAGGGGTCAGTCTCAAGGCTATGTATGGAGTCTCATAAAAGATATCAAGCTAGACAATGAACTCTAACAACCAAGGAGTATCAATAGATCTGAAAAGGTCGCAGTGTATTAGGCCATGGGCTAGCTCCACGAAAATCTAATCTAATCTAGCAGGTGCATCATGAACTGTTTTTCCACAATCCTGGACGTATTCTTTGTATCATTTCTCGCAAGCGGCGCATAACTGCAAGATAGTAATCCTTATTGACCATAAGATCATGTGGCAAGAACTACTGTTGCACTACGCAACGGTAATGAAAGAAAACAGTGAGCAAAACCTTGAGATTTGATCGAACTTACCCTCCTTTCAATCCATTTGTTCGGATAATTAGTATCCAACCAGTGCCTAACTGGAGCTGCATAGTGAGGAGGTGCTCCATCTTGTTGGAAGTGCAGCAAACCTACAGCTAGGTTGCCTTGGTCGTCCCTTTGGTTCTCTAATTCATGCACAATTAAAGGTTCGATGGTGTTTTCCAGCATATCGAGATAAATGCCGCCACTTTAATTGCCTGATATGAACAAGGGACCAATTATAGCATCGCCTGATATTCCTGCCCAAAGATTCAGTTTTTCACTCCAGTACCGACAGTTTTGTTTATTTACATTACCATTTAGCATAAAAGTACATTCATCACTGAAACAAATATTTTTTAACGTTCTCGGTTCAATGCGAATTCTTTCAATCATGAGTTCACAAAACTCAATTTGTCGGTCTGGATCATCATCGCTTAGTTTTTGAAGAATTTGTGTTTTGTAATTTCAACACCTTTCTAACCGACTCATGTGAAAATCCTGTCACTGCAGATACTTGACGTTTTGATGCAGTAGGTTCCATACAAAATTTCCAAGGACCCCAATTTGCTTCATTCAGTAATCTTGGGGCACTCCTTTTTTATTTTGCAGTGATCCCGTTTCTTTAAGCTTTTCAACTAAAAAGCGGATGTACATGTGACTTACATTTTTGTCCGGGTGCCTTTCATGAAATATTTGAGCTGTTTTTAAATAACACTGGTTCTGGGAGGCAAATATAAAAATTATCTCCACACGCTCAGGTATACTGTAAACCATCGTGACAACTACAACTGAATGACAGTACAGATAGTACAAATAATGAAAACTAATGACATTTAAAAGTCTCAAACAAACCAAATATTATTGACTCTGACAGGACCCAAGAAACAGATCTTTCCAACTTGTTCTGCAAAAACGGCAAATTAAGTTTGTATTTAACAAAAAAAGTATCGACGGACACTTATCATTTAAAATAATAGTCCGAGAGGTAGCATTACAAATAAAAAAGTCATAGTAAGTCGGCTGATATTAAAGTTCGTGCAGAGTCTGACAATAGGCTGTATTATTGTTCACAAAACAATGGAACCCACTTTGAACATTCACTTGATTGACATTTTCAATAAATTTGTAGTTCAACAAAAACCTCATTAAATATTCCATTCAAGCCAAAGTTTCACAATTATTGCTTCACCCTGTACAATTATTATTTATACCATTGGATAGCATGTTTTATAGTATTTTCTATGATGTATCACAAGTAGGGGTTTGCAATTTGAACTTTTTGAGTTTTGGTGGGATAGGTGAGTTTTGGTGATGGGGGTGAGTTCTCTTTCATGTCACTTTAGTTCCCCCTTACTATCCTAGAAACTGTTTCAAACATTTTTCGATATTAGCTTTCGTTCGTGAGATATAGCCCATTGTAAGTTTTTAAATTGACACACTGTATGTAGCTTTGTATTCAAATAACCCCAGTAGATGAATACTGAGATACTGCATAGAAAAGAAGACTATATTTCACAGCGACTCCGTATCGAAATTCTGTAACACAAAACAGGCATTTCACTTGCAACAAACACTTTACGTGACATAAAATACATTTTTTCCCGTTTCCTTATGCGGGTAAAACCCGATCGCGAAGACGGGACTCATTAATTAAAACCTCCAGTTACGACAATAATATATCAATTTCGCAACATTAAATCATAGCGCGAGAACGACGAGGTGTGTCTCAGCCACACTTGCGAAAAGAAAAAAATTGGTCCTTCCATTTGCATACGGAACGCAAAAACCTCGGGAATTTTTAGAGGGGGTTGTTTTGACCCCCATTCCGCGAAAAAATCCCCCTAGATCTCGTTCTCGAGGAGTATTACACAACGCCGACCGTATAAATATGTAAGAATGACGGTAGCGAAACAATTCGTCAACAGTGCGAGTACAAGAAATTACTTTTCGTTGTCGCGGTGTGTGGCAGATAATTATCATCATGTTCGCTAAGGTAAGGCGTCGAAGATTATGCGGACGTAAGTAAATGGGCCGTAAATTTGCGGATGGTTCTCGGCGTAATTTAGAATAATTTAGATGAAGTCTGATAGTACGGTAAAATTAGTTTCCAACTCGCGGATCTTGAAAAATCAGAGGTGGAAAGAATTAACTATTGTTTCATATATTTCAACAAATTGAATTCAAATAATAAATATAGAAACTTAGCTGAAAAATAATTGTTCTGAAATACTTCATTCAAGTTTCATTCTTTTTTCTTTCAAACCGTGAAATTCCTTTATTTTTACACGCAAGTTTTTGTTAATCAACTGAGAAATAAATTTCGGATAATTTAATAACAACGATAATAATAAACGCGATCTAAATTTTGAACTCTACTCTGTGTAATTGGTGACTGGTTTATTTTGTGGAAATTCACGATCACTTCAATGGAAGAATGAAAACACTTTCGTCTTATTTCCACTAGTTATTTTATTTTTACGACCGGTTTCGGATTTTATCCCATTATCCAGTATATAAATTCACTAATAATAATAATAATGATAAAGAATGTCTTTATTATCAATTAATAAAAAATCACGTTTTGTTTATGCAGTTGGGGCGAGATTAAGTTTGTATGTAATAATGAGTATTGCACAATATGAAATATAATTAGATATAGATATATTTCATTGGTCCATTTAAAAGAACTTTTACAAGTTATGGGACAAGTCACGAAACAACTCATATAAGTAAAAATATACAAATTTGTCACTTTACCAGATTCAAAACAAAATATATAAAAACAAATACATATACTTATATTAACATATGCACACATATATACATATGTATACATATACACACACACATATTGCACATTTAAGAATTCAAACACATCAAAACGACTCTGAACTCATCAATATTGTATGGACTTATATCTAACATAAGCACCTTGATATTATATTTACAATCTTTCAACTTGGTAAATCTTTTATATTCATTAGGTAATATACATATTATACAGCCTAAGGCCCATGATTTGGTATGATTTTTGACACCATGTTGTACGATTTCTTGGAATATGTAGATAATTTTTTATTCTTGTATTGTAATGATGTACCGATTCGTTTTTCATGAACTTATCTAAATTTTTGTGTATATACATCAATAGTTCAACGATAAATAAACCATGAACCGTGAGAATATTATACTCTCTGAATAGTCTTCTACAGAAAGTTCTTGAAGATACGTTAACAATGTTTCCTATTATTCTTTTTGTGTTATGAAAATATCCTTCATAGAAGACGAGTTGCCTCAAATCAAAATGTCATATTTCAATCTCGACTGAATTTGACATTATAAAATAATAGTAATGCTTGTTTATCCAGAACATTTTTTTAAACTCTAATTTGATAACACTTGCTATTCAGATTCTTCATGAGATTTACGCAGTGAGTGGTGATTCAAAATCTATTCCTAAAAATTTTACCCAGTTTGATTGTTCTACTGATTTATTATTTATATTTATATCTATTTCGGTGGTTCTATTACGATGACTATTTTGAAAAGACATATATTGAGTTTTGCATGGGTTTAGGAATAAAAAATGGCTGGATAACCAGTCATAAAGACTCTAGAGAGTAAAGTGAATTGTATCCTGTAGAATACACTCATTCCTTTCACGAAACAAAAGTGTTGTGTCGTCAGCATATGAACAAGAGAAGGCTTTTGGTGTAATTACAGGCAAATCATTAATATAAAGCACAAACGAAACCGGACCCAGAACAGAGCCCTGGGGTACTCCAATTTCATTGGGCATAAGTGTCGATACAAACTGATTTTGAATTTTTTCTATTTTATGATTTATTTTGACACTTTTAATACGATTTAGAAGATACGATTCGAACCGTTCATGAGTTTTTCCTTTAACTACAAAATTGTATAGATTTTGCAGTAAAAGTTCATGTTGCACGCAGTCAAAAGCTCGACTCATAGCACAGAATACAACTGTAGTTATTTCATTTGCTTCCGCACCTTCTGAAATTTTTTCATAGAGAGAGTATATAGCAGTAATCGTTGAAAGAGCTTCATGGAATCCGTGTTGGTTTCGATTAAGTATATAATTCTTCATCAGGAATCCCATCAAAGATTTCAGCATTACATATTCAAAAATTTTTGATATTACAGAAGGGTCAGGTACTGGTCTATAATTTTTCATACTATGTTATAAGTGACATTTTCAATCTGCCTGAAAAAATTCCATCCTGAAAAGACCTATTTTAACAGTTAACATACATCTGCTCTTCCATCTAACCCCAAAAAAGAAGTCAAACACAGCAAATAGAATAATGAATCAATAAATTGAATCAAATCAATAGAGAAAGAATGAAAGTTTGGCGATTAGTTGATCAAGGGAAAAAATTTCAATCCGAATAATGTATGTTGTATCGTAGCTCGGAATATATAACATGTATTATTGTTAAGACAAATAATAGTCAAAAAGTGATTGAGACGGTTAGCAATACAATAAGAAAACGATAGTTTGAAAAACTCAGTATGGTGACGAGGTATAGTAAGAGTATTTCTATGTCTTATATCACATTTGTAATATAAAGACCACGTTATATAGGGAGTTTGCAGGCTTACCTACAACTGTATTTGTGAGTTTCAATACTTGATAATGGGTTAAAACCCGAAACCGGTTGTAAAAATAAAATAACTAATGGAAATTAGACAAACATTTTTTCATTCATTTCAATAAAGTGATATCTACTCGTATATGAACTTCAATATAATAATGTTTATTGAAATTTATTATACAAGGTGTTCCTGTATAACACGCTGATATTCAAAGAGGTTATTTTTGTGCTGGGTGCTGAAATAAAAAAATCCTAGATACTTTTGTGAAAAGTAGGTACCTAGTACGCAACATTTGCACTGATTCATTTTAAAAAGTTGATAAGATAAGATAAGCCACTGCTTTTTCTCGAGGTGAAATTCAGTTTTCAAATCCTCCTTATTCTTTAAGAGAATCTGATCCATTGAGGAGTGGGGATTTCTAAAACATTAATTACTTTAATGTAATAAAAAAGTCTCAAAACTTTAGCATCTGTAGTTTGAATCCCGATCAAAATTTTCATTTGGAATTTATAAATTTTATGACAATCATCGTTTCTGAGTTATAGCATGTTGGTGTAACTTTTTTCCTTTCAGAAATTTCTTATTTCTATGAAAACATTTTCAAACCACTTTTTATGTTGAATTCAATGACGTAAAAACTTATTTTTTCAAATGAGATATCAATAGTTATTGGTGGAAAACTATTTTTTAATGAGACACAGGGTGTCTCATTCCAGCATATTTCAATAGAGCTTGAAATTAACTCAACTGAAACAACAAACGTAACTCCAGAAAATAACACAGTCCCTAGTAAAATAAATTTCAGAAGTGGGATATTTTTTATCAGGTGTGGAAGGAACTAAATCAAAAGATGGTAATAAATTAGAAATTCAGGTCAGCCAACTATCCCGCATCCAATGTTCGTATCAACTTCATCTATCGCGGTACACTAACTCATTAATATCTTCCAGATCGCTGTATTAATGTGCGCTCTGACCGCTCCTGGGTACGGCAAACCGCTGGTCGTCGACGTCGTACAGCACGCACCGTTGGGCACGATCGGCGTTGCTCACGCTCCGATTCTCAAAGCTGAACAGTTCGACGCCCATCCACAGTACAAGTTCGAGTACGGAGTGCAGGTAGGAGAAACAAATAATTAATAAATATTCTTCGATATCAACTTTTCAGACGTTATTCATTCAGTTTTATTAATATTAGTAATAAAACATATGAAAATTCGAAATTTGGATAACTGAATCAATATTTGAAAAATCTGGGATTTCAAAACTGAAATATGTAATAGAATTGGTCGATACTTCATGAAAATCCAGAACGTATTCAAGTAGCACTTCATTGCTACTGAACAGTTTACAAAACCGCAACATTTGTTTCATTATACTATGGCTTCCTCAGGAATGTATGCACTCAACTGAGTAATACATTGTATAGTTGCGGTTTTGTAAACTGTTCACTGAAAATCTCACAACTGCAGAACGTGTTTCACTTTACAACAGCCTCCTCAGGTGTATTCATACACGTATTTCACTATATAACAGCTCCCTCAGGCGTGTATGAATTCGTCTGAGGAATCTATTGTTTAGTTGCAGTTTTGTAAACTGTTGAGTGGAAATCTCACGACCGCAATACGCGTTTAACTATAAAATAGGCTTCTCAGGCTTGTTCATACACGTGTTTCCCTATATAATAGCTCTCTCAGGCGTGTATGAACTCGCCAGAGGAATCTATTGTTTAGTTACGGTTTTGTTAACTGATCAGTGGAAATCTCACGACGGCAATATGTGTTTCACTATACAATAGCCTCCTCAGGCGTATTCATACACGTGTGTCATTATATGATAGTTCCCTCAGGCGTGTATGAACTCACCTGAGGAATACACTGTTTAGTTGCGGTTTTGTAAACTGTTCACAACTGCAATACGTATTTCACTTTACAATAACTGCTTCAGGCGTGTATGAACTCGTTAGAGGAATCTATTGTTATGTTGCGGTTTTGTAAACTATTTAGTAACAATATCACAACCGCAATACGTGTTTCACTATACAATGGCCTACGCAAGCGTGTTCATACACGTGTTTGACTATATAATAGATTCCTCAGCCGTGTATAAATTTGCCAGAGTAACCTATTGGTTAGTTACAGTTTTGTAAACTGTTCAATGAAAATCTCACAACCATGGTTCACTATACAATAGCTTCCTCAGGCGTATTCATACACGTGTTTCACTATATCATAGCTCACTCAGGCGTGTAGGAATTCGTATGAATACATTCTTTAGTTGCGGTTTTGTTTATTTTGTCATCGCATTCTAATGCAACCGTTACCTTGGTATGCTTCTATTTCTTTTCCTTTTGGGAGTCAATTCTTTTACATTACAATCTATTTTCTACTCTTCCAGTATCAGCCTACAGCGTATTATCCAGAGTTCCATTTCGGTCGTTATTATTTTATCCTCGTTTCTCTTATTACCCATAGTCTCGTTTCACATAATTATAAAATATATTGCAGTACAAAGCTGAGTGTTGTCTTTATCTAAATGTGTTTATTCCACATTTATCTTGTTCAACATTAGTTCTTCTGCTGTGTTATAAGATAGCTTCAGTCTATTGTTTTTGTAGTTCTGAATCTCTTTCAGTCTCTTCTTCTGTTATTTTTTATAAAAATGCACAAGCACTGGGGAATAGTCTTACAAACGTTCCGACAATGATGCCTGTGCGAAACTGACTCTCTACCTTGGATTTAAAAATTTATCTTTGTTTCTGGATCGTTGATGGTATAGTGGTTTGGGATATTTTTTCTCATAATTTTCGGGTTTAGTCTGAAGTAAAAAGATCTTTTACGAAGAAGAATGAACCCGCTTTTCGTAAAGCAAGTTGAACAAGCAAGTAAATTTGATACAAGACAAACCGATAAATATTATATCAATTTATTTTTCTTCATTTCAATATTTCACTCGAAGATATAGGGGGAATTGGTGAAAAAACTAGAAATAATGAGAACATGAAGAAGAAAACAATTTGCTTCAAGATCAAACTGAAACACTAATATTTTGATCACGTCGATGTTTCGATACAACTACCAAAGCGTCAAAGAAAATGTTAGCCAATCAAATCACGTAAAAAATTACTGTAACATCGAGAAAAGGCATTCTAATTGAGAGAGAAAAAATATATTTTTATACCTTTAGTGATATAACAACCACTGATGATCCCATCACATACAGTGAATACCAATAACCCATTGACAAACTGTTTACAACCTTGAAATCCCATAGACCGCAGATTGAAGTCATTAGATTATTAATTAATTAATGCCACATGAATATAAATAGGCCGGCTATATTAATTAACTACATAAACATGTATTACATTTCGAATAGACCACATTTATTGAATTCAATCAATTCGAGAAGAGTTAATTGCCGAATCGACGGAAAATTCTAGTAGTTGATTGATCGCCTAATTTAAATTTTATCATGTAATCGATACGGTAGAATTTATGGATGTCAAAACACTTCAAATGTTCAAAATTTATGATAATTCATTTGTGAATGATTTCTAGACAATTTAATGAAATTTATTTCAGATAGCAGAACTCTCAATTGCCGTTTCTGAGATGTTCAAAAAACGCTAAGATTGCCATTATAATAGCATTTTTAGAATATAAACGTCGTGCAATACCTGTGTTATGATACATGGTCAAATTTGTAGTGATAGTTGGTTTTTTAACAATACTTGTATCCTTTAATAAAAATTCGAAGAAATGCAAATTTTCAATATGTATTTGGAGTTGATGTCTTCTAGGATCAGTATCAACTTTTTTGAAATATCTCATGTGTTACCTACCTTTTCTCCCAAGAGGAGAAACGTCTGGAAATATAAGTATTGTGATATATGACTGAATTGGTTATAATTGTGGTTACTAAAATCAATACAAGTCTGAATGCCTCTATCAAAAAACTAATGATGGAATTCAATGAAAGAAACGTTGGATTGTAAATTTGTACACACCAAATCATAACAAACATGGAACAGAACAAGAAGCCCTTTCACCTTTTTTTTTATATTATTTGTAATGCAAGCGGTAGATCCAAGTAAATTTATATTTTTGCGAATATCTCGAGCACGGCCACTGATAATCGCGATTTAAAAAAATATATTTATTGTCCTTTCAAATAGACAACATTGTAATAGATATACTGTATACGCAAAAACGTTCATGTTTTTTTTGGAGAAGGACGAACTGTAACAAATTTGACAGAAGTTTGCCATAATTTTTTGTAAATAAATCCAGAAAAACCAGTGAAATCCATTTCCAAATAGACAGAAGGAATATAAACAGCTTCTGTGACAGTGAAAATCAAATGAAACTCATAAAAATTGATATGGATCCGTCTATGTAGAAGAGTAAACATTAAATTGCATTCAGACTCTCAGAATTTGAATGTTTGTTTGTTATGGTCAGTTGAAAAATAACGGATTTTTTCAAAATATTTTTGTCGATAATTCCATAGAATTCATCCGTTACTTTTAGGAAACATTACATAAGTCACTTACTCAAGTCACCATATTTTTGATTTGAGAACTCTAATGACGTTGCGTCGGCGTATAATACTTTACGTCCACTACCTCGTGTACTAACTCCTTCAATAGATTTTTAACATTCAGACATCTATCAAATCAGGAAATGTTTCAGGACTCTTCTACTGGCGACCAGAAAACCCAACAGGAAGTCAGAGACGGTGACGTCGTCAAAGGTACCTACAGCCTAGTGGAACCAGACGGCAGTAAAAGAACCGTAGACTACACCGCCGATCCTATCAACGGATTCAACGCCGTAGTACGCAAAGAACCACTTAATCATCCAACTCCTCTGACTGTAGCACACGCCCCATTAGCTATAGCTCATTCTCCGGTAGCTCTAGCTCACGCGCCCATAACAGTAGCTCACGCACCAGTAGCAATAGCTCACGCCCCAATAACCGTAGCTCACGCACCTCTAGCTGTAGCCCATCCAACTGTAGCAATTGCGCAGGCGCCTTTAGCTGTGGCTCATGCGCCTTTAGGGTACTCTACTGCCATAACTCACGATGCTGTTGCTTATGCGCATGCTCCTGTTGCCCTAACTTCCCCGTTGTCAGCAATCAGCCACCAGAGTAGTACGGTTCTTCATTGATGATTTCGTATGTCTACTTATATTTCATCTCAATCATTTCGATAAAATGGCACTCATTTAATTTATTCAATAAAGTTTCCACTTCAAGAACATATTAACGTTCTTTTTTTTCATCCTCTTTCAACTGTTGATCTTGATGTTTGAAATGTTTATCTTAGCATAGAATAGAAAATAATCAATATTGAATTTTAGGTTTTTTGGAGAGAAAATAATAGTTATAGAGTCGAGAGAAACAAAATTTGAACATTCGAGAGGAAAAGATGATGAAGAATTTTGCCCTACTAAAAAAAAGATAAGCATTTACCAATCAGGTGAAAAAATTGAAAAAAAAATTGATACACACCCCAATTTCTTCCTCAACCAATGACTTATTGAATATTCAGTCATTCAGTTTGAAAATAAAAATCATAAATGAAAGTAAATTGATGAATGTAGCCGTTACTACGTGGTAGGAAAGCATAATGAAGAAAAGAGAATTGAAACTTCCTATGTTTTTTATCACTTTCATTTGTAACTAACGTTTCGTCCTATAAGAACATTTTCAAACTTATACATTAAACCAGCAATGGTTTATTACATTAGTCCTTATATATAGTACCCCTGTAGGTAATAACCTGACCATTACACACAATCAATAAATTTCGGTTCAATATTCTCAGAAAACCTAGATATACAGACATTGCCATACCAAGCCATTATTTCCATCCAGACAGTCATAAATTAGCATCCTACAATTGAATGTTGCACAGAGCATTCCACTGCTTTTGTCTGCTAACAATCTCGCTAGGGAAATTGATATAATTACACAGATAGGTCATAATAATGGTTTCAACGCAGATACTATCCAGAAGTTAGTCAGAAAACAAAGCCGTTAATTCACTTACAGATCAATTTACCCTCAGGTCAAACAACCAGAAATCAAGAAATGGTAACTCTTACATATTTTGGAAAAAAAACAGAGATAATTGCGGGTTTCTTCAGAAAAAACAATGTGGAAGTGGCATTCAGACCACATGCCAGGTTATCTGATTTCCTTTTCAATTCCAAAGATAAGGTGGACAATGTTGGAGAAATCTGGAGTTTATAAGCTTAAGTGACCGGAGTGTAATAGTGTTTATGTGGGACAATGTGGGACAAATCTAAACGATACGGAAATTTTGCACTATGCAAGGAAGGGTTACAAACTCAATTATTTCGAATCCTTGGAAATTCACAAGCATAAACATTGTGGGTGCAACCAGTTAAATGATCAAATCGATTTAGTTAACTCACCGATTTTCAAATTAGCACATCCGCGTTGTAAATTATAAATTCAGGTACTCAATCAAGCTATACTAAAACCAATAATGATTGAGAATAGAAGTGAGCCCAGTTGACAGTAAATCGGGGGCGTGCTTATTAATTTTTGAGAGGGTTAAGAATGAAAGAAAAATTCTTAGTACAATTAGTTAAAATATTCATACACATTTTTTATTTATTTCATTAATGCTTTGCAATGTCGTAATTTACCTAATCGTTGTAGTCAGTAGGTGGGCCTTATGAAAACGGAGTAATAATCGTGGTAATTATAGTAGGTACCAAATAAATTGACAATATTAATAAAACTGTGTCGT